CGAGCACACGCGCACGGCCGGCATGGGGCTGGGTGACCCGCTGTGTTCCCTCCCGTAGTGCCACGCCAGCACTGCGAAGTGTCTTTACAGGGACGTAGCACCTGACTAAAACAGCACCACAACCAGAAGAGATGCTTCTGAAATTATGCAGCTGCCCGCGCCTTTGGTAGGAAGCTAAACAACAGCTCGCAGGTACAGAATTAAAGACACACAGCAGACTGCCTGCTCACCACTACGAAACAGCCACTGCCAGCGCATGAGAAAGGAGAAAAGCAAAGCAGGCCCTGGCAGTGCCCCAGGAAACAGGTCGCAGGGCAGTAAGGGGTCCTAGTTGTAGTCCAGGGTGCCCAACGTGCAACAAAACCAGCCACAAGAAGTGGGGCTCCAAGGGGTTTTTCGAGCTAACACAAAACCTAAGAGAGTATTTTAGTCTGATGCTGCACATTCAAAACGTCTTTGCATTTAATACTTGTATCCTTTCACCAACAAATTTAAAAAGAGCACTACCAAAAGAGTAAGCCTATCAAAATTTTAAAGGCTTGTTCACACTTGAAACCATTTCAAAAAAAATTCAGGACCACCAGAAAAGTTAAATTTCATTTACGATACCACATAAAATCACAGTTCTAGTTAACTGCTCATATTAAATTCCAGCTCTAAGAATTTAATAGTATTCTTTTTAAAAATGAATTTATTCCCTGATAGTATTTGATAATCCCCACTTTAATACAGACAAAACCAATGTATTCAACAGGAACAAAGACCTGAAGTGACGCTTAACAAACAAGATATCCTCTACAGAAGAGCAAAGACCTCATTCTTTATAGCACCGCTACTCCGATGTTTTTTCCTTCAAAAAGAAATTATTACCCTATTTAATAATAAGCAGTTAACTTAAAATCCAAGAGCCTTCGCTGTGCCTAAAATTGAATACAAGGGTATTTACCAGCAATGTGCCATACCTTCAAAACACTGCTGTAATACTGTAAAAATGCTCAAGTGCAACTTTATGGAGGGCTGCCTTTGAAAGAGAAATTTTACTGAAACAGTACTCATTTTAAGCAAAACACAAGTAATCAAGTAACTTGGAGCAAATAAAGTTTGCGGAAATTAACAGGTTAGTTCGGAAACACATTTTAGGAGGACAATTATGTTTTCTGCTTAGGCACAATAAATAATAATGGCTCCTATAAAATCCCTTATGAAATAATAAGGTACAGGAACACGGCAATCTTAAGAGCGTAGGAAGTTAAGCACTGTGTTATATTGGCATTATATAAAAACAGAAAAGTAAAACAGAGCACTGGAGCTAACAGCCTTGTTGAACTTTCTAGCATTCACACAGGCCTGTGATCCAAGATGTCTTTATTTAAGAGGCCTCCCTGGAGCTTTATTTGCAGCAAGCTAATTAACATTCAAGCAGGGTCGAATTGTGGGAGGGGGGGGAAAGGGAAGAAGGTGTCACTTAAGCCAAGTTCAGGAATGGCTACGCTCGGTCACAAACTTATTAAAGGGGGAACGCAGCAGCCCAATAGACGTAGGGGAAGTAGAAAGAAGAATTAAAGGTTGAAGGTAATTTGTCATCATCTCTCAAAGCTCAGGGTCAATGATCTCTTACCTTCGGGTCGATTTTCTTAAAACTGGGATCTTCTTCATCCACCTCAAAGTAGACCTCAGAGGACAAAAAAAAGTGCCTTTCACTACAACCGAGGGTGCCACAAGCTGAGCTGGCGCGCTTAGGTTAACCGGACCTGCCAGAGGGCAAAAACACCACCAACAATATTCAAAACAGAAAAGACAACGAGTGCTAATTACTAGCTTTGCAAGCTTAAGGTATAAAAATATCTCAGTAAACTGAAGAGTTTAGCTTTAAAAACCAAAACTCTTATCTCAGGAAAAAAAAAAAAAAAAGCATATGTAACAGATTTACAGGATCTCTCCGCAGCTCAGCATCGAAGCAGCTACAATTGCAACCAACAATATTCAAAACAGAAAAGACAACGAGTGCTAATTACTAGCTTTGCAAGCTTAAGGTATAAAAATATCTCAGTAAACTGAAGAGTTTAGCTTTAAAAACCAAAACTCTTATCTCAGGAAAAAAAAAAAAAAAAGCATATGTAACAGATTTACAGGATCTCTCCGCAGCTCAGCATCGAAGCAGCTACAATTGCAAGTTGATGCATATGTTATACATGCCAGAGATGGCTTTAGTGTAGCAGGATATAGTTTTTATTCAATTGCATTTTGGTTTTGAGAAACTTCAGTAGTTGCATATCTCCTTTTCTAAGCGATACAGAGAGTGCACACATGAGCACTTGAAATCTTATTGTCAAATGCGTTCTTTAGGAAATGGAGAGTTTCAATAGCTTTCTACAAAGATGAACATGGCAGTCAAGGCTCAAAGTTGTCTAACTGTAAAGTGTTCCCTCATGGATGCTAGAAATCTATTGTTAGGGTTACACAGCGTGGTAGAGTCTAAGGTAAAACGTTTTAAAGATGCTTTTGATTCCACGTTAAATATTGTTTGAGGATTCCATATAGTGTTACTGCAGCTTAGGGACTGTGGGAGTAAACAGCTGGAGGGTTGGTTTCCAACTGAATGAATTTTTATTGGAATAATCACATCTCCACAGGGCTTATCACAGGGACAAATCAGACTACTACTGAAAACAATAGGTTCAGCACAGATCTGACAATACAGAACCTATTATATAAACTAACATATATAGAAGAAAAAGAGGTAGGGTTTGTCATCCAGCTGATTAAGAGGCAAGGAAATGAAGTTACTTGGTTGCAGCATTACCTGACTTTTGTAAAAGAATGGAAGGTATGAAAGTGACACAGACAATTTTGTTTTAATAAAGCATCTATAAATGAGGTACACACGTTCAGGTAATCAATGTGAGAATAACTGACAAAAAATTCAGATGAATTGTCATTTCCATCGATTGTTAGGAGGGAGATGGTCCTTAATCTCACATCAATCTCAATGTGTGCCACTAGGACAAAAGAAGAGATGCTCTGCTGAGATCAGAGCAGCTTTGCCCTGTATTCCCCACGTACAAATACATTGTGTTTGCAGATGGGCATGAGATAGCTGCAGAACTGCCATGATTTCCCAAAGCTCACCCCCCACAAATGGATGAAATAAGCAGCTATGTGTTCTTTTGCTGTCTCCCTTTGCCCTCTGTACATTAGCATTTAATCCAGAGGAGAAATAACATTTTTTCAATCACTCTTAGACATTCAATTACAGGACAAGCAGACAGCTGCAGAAGCTGGGGCAGCCCAGGTCCTGTAGAAGACCCCCTGACAATTTCCACTTCATTTCTAACCCACACCACTTTATTAGTGAGGATTACTTCTTAATCCTATTGCCGTTGTCAAGATTATATAATTAAACTCCCCTTTCACCTCTATTACAGTATGAATGCATTACTAGAAGCAATGAATGTATAATAAAAGAGAAGGAAACAGGGAGAAATCTGTTGAGAAGGAAGCTCAGGACAAAAAGCAAAAGGACTCGCGTACACAGAAATGCCATTGCATTACTCTCGAATTACTTTGCTTTAGTTCGCTTTTCCTGCCCCCGCCCCCCTTTTTTTTTTGGGTCATTCCCAAATTAGGCTGTAATTTTAACTTTGCTTTTAAAAACAAGAGAAGTTGAAAGCAGTTTAGGCAAGGGATAAGGAAACTGCTGGTAAATAACACTTCTAGTAATTTCACTACATTATCATACTGGCCGATTACACTATTAGGTTCACAGAGAACAAGAATTATCCAAGAAACAAAATCTTTCTCCACAGTATACGGTCACAGAAACCAGATGAGAGAGTTGAAAAGAACAAAGAAGTTTACATTTTCCTGAAAACCCATGTTACCCACATAGCGATGAAGCTGCATTAGAAATCCCAGTCCCTGAACTGAGGGGTTGCTGTTTGCATTTTGAACTGCACAGAAATGGGCTCATTCCACTTGGACTGCAGTATCAGCAAAGATGGTCACATGTGACCCACTAAAATTAATCAAATTCAAGGAACTTTTTTCTTCAAGAAAAAAAAAAAGTGAAGTCAAACATGGCTATTGCCTGTGGGGAAGGGACTTGAATGGGGGAATGGCAGAAGGTTAAATCCAGTAAGCGCACAGATCTTTTGAACCCTAGCAAATAACTAATATATACATTTCTTCATAAACTCAGGGGAAAAAACCCAAAGCTCTCCAAAGCCTTTGGTTACAGAAAACTTACATAACTCCCCACTAGCCCTAACGCTTTGAGGAGTATAAAGAAGTCAAAAGTAGAGAAAGGAAGCTCTTTTCAAGAGAAAGCTACTGTTACCAAAGAAGGTTTCCTAAAACACTGTCAGAAATCCACCCTGGAAAAAAGAGGTTATAAAAGCCAGGGAAAGAAAGCTCACAAATCTCTCCATGTAAATCTCCAGCATCTGAGGTGTGCAGAAAAATCATCTTTCAGTAACTCATTCATGGGGAGGAACAATTTGTCAGTGTGCATCCTCAAACATTATTTACCGTGGAAAAGGGGGAGACCAGAACTTACAGAAACTGAGGAGAAACTAGACAGCTGTAGTTACCTGTGAAGTTGTCCAAATCTTTATCCTCAAGGGATGACAGGGTATCGTCGTCACCATCCAAGAGAATCTCGCTTTCTGAGTTCTGATTTCCTAAAACTTGGCTCTTGATGGACTGCTTTCCTTTAACAAGCATATCTTCATCGAGAGCTGGAACAGAGAAGAGGCACACAGCTGTCACTCAGGTCTCAGAGGCAACAGCTACCAACAACACCCTGCAACGGCTTCTAAAACCAAGGCTAAGCAGGGGAACTTGGGGCAAGACTAGCTGCGGGACCTAGATACCAGCACCTGTGTTAATCCTCTGATGTTAGGGCACAGCTAGTTTTAATTCTATTATGCCTGCTCAAAATTATCACTGCAGCGCTTACATTTCAAGCCTTCACGACAGAGGTGTGGGGAAGAGGCCGGGCACCCCGTCCCCCTGTGACTCTCCGGCGTGAGGGAGCTGTCGTGCTGCGAGGGGCCTGGCCCGCCTGGACCCCAGCGGTTTGTCCAGGCCCGAG